TCTTTTTTCTTCTCATATTTATCTATTTTCTTTTAATTTTTATGTTAAAAATGCTTGATATTTGATATTTATTTCTTTATACTTTTTTTCCTTTGTTCTTTCAAGCTTTAATAAAAATTCAAGGGAGGGGAAACAATCTGCTGGTTTCAGTGGGATTAAAACAATTTAACTGCCTGGTTACCAGTGTAAACAATTCATAGGGTGAAAGAAAACTCCATTATAGGAATGTCCACCCTATTTCTACATTAGAGACAATGGGTTTTTTGCATCAGTGGCCAGAGTTTTCCAATGACCTAAGCTTTGAGAAGCCTGAAGCTGGTAAAAATCAGATTCATTTCCCTTCATGCATTTATCATTGATCCAACACTCCCACCTACCAAACTTCAGGAGAGTTCAAAGGGGGGGGACAGCGGCTCAAATTATGTGACTAGCAACCTCAGCTATGGCCCACAACAGACAAGAACCCCGACCCCAGTCCCACACTTACCCCACCCAAACCATCATGCACTTGGGGCAGGATGAGGAGGGCAGATTGAAAGAGCAGGAGGTTGTAAAACGTCATCTTAAAAAATAGCTTAAAGCTTTACAAAGATGTTATGGCAACGAAATTTTTTGTAATTAAAGTTCTGTTGTTACTGTTTAAAAAAAGAAAGTGGTTGTCAAACCAAGTTTGTTCGTGTGAGTCCCATACAAATGAAAGAAGCCTGTGTGTGTGTCCAAACACATCCTTTGGAACGATGCAGGACCACTTTATCGCCAAGCACAGGAGGTCCATAGTCCATCCAGGACAGGTGGGTGCCTTTTGCTGTAATCCTGCCCAGGTGAGGTTTGCGTGGAGAAGCTGGGCCTCTATGCGGTGGCAGAGCTGAGCCAGTTGGTTGGCCCAAGCGGAGGGTTTATCGGATGATGATTGGTTGGGATGGATTTTTCCTGTTCACAGAAGATTCACAAACAAATTGAGTCTCCCCCCCAAGCCCATCCCTCTTCATGCAAAATGACCCGCAGCGCTTCAACCCTCCCCCCCTCCCCAAGCTCTTTGAACCCAGACATCTAGTTGGGGTGTATCAAATGGTAAACATGGAATATCTTTCTTCTCTGTGGTCTCCTAAGCACCCCCAATGAGCAGGGAGCAAACCCCATGGCGCCCCTATGGGGACTTGCTTCTGAGTAAACATGCCTTGGAAATTTGTAAAACAGGTTGGATGTGGTTACCATTAATCTCAGTGTATGGCAGGACTTTTAAAGATGGTTTCATTCTGGTTTCATTACTTTTTTTAGCTGCCTTGAGTCTCTTTGGAGAAATAGGTTGGGTAGAAATTTCTGAAATAAATAAACTAGGCCTGAATGGCTAAACAAGGGATGGAGAACCTGTGGCTTTCCTGATGTTGCATTGGCCATGCTAGCAGGGGCTGATGAGAGTTGCAGTCCAACAACATCTGGAGGGCCACAGGTTTACTAGCTCTCAGTTAATCTCATATTTATTTTACCTTATGTCTTTATCCAAACAAGCGAGGTGTTATGAAATGCTGCATGAGAGGGTTTTCCTTATTTATTTGGTTTTTTAAAAATGCAATTTATTTTTTTTAATGAATGAATGAATGACTGGATATAACCTTCCTCTAAATCAGGCTTCAGCAACCTGGTGCCATCCAGAAGTTTTGAACTACAATTCCCATCAGTCCCAGCTGGTTGTAGTCCAGAACCTCCGAGATAATTTCTGGGGAATCCACAAAGAAAGGAAGCACTCTAGTTCTGCTAAGGAGATCTGCAGACATAGATCCCTGGCCAAGGAGGGTAAAAAACACATGAATTGCCATTGAATTTATAACAATTGAGCCAGAGTTCCAGGAACACATGGGAACTCTTTCTCAACCTTGAGAAGGAAAGATTAGGTAGATTCCATCAAACCTTACTTTGGTTGGTTTACTAGTCACTCCCAATGGCTGTGCTGGATGGAACAGATGGGTCCAAAACATCTGGAAGGCGCTAAGTTGGGAAAATCTCCGTTATACCTTTCGAGGAGATTCAGGGTCTTCTCGATAGGGTTTAATTCATAATAATCAAGCCATTGAGATATTGCAAACGGGTCATTGGCAATGGGTTTGGGTTTTACTTAATGGGTTTTCACCGGAAAGCTACAGCTGAATTAAATATGGGCTGGCAAGTTGATGTTGGTAACACTGTCTGGTCTCCTGCATGCATGAAGAGCTCCAGTTCCCACAAGAAACACCCATCTCGAAACACCTTTAGCTGGGGAGAAAGGTTTAACGTTCTGAGAAGGCACCAGCTGGAGCTTGTTCATCCTCTGTTCTCCCCTGCCAATATACAGTGATGACTGGTGCCCACTAGTGAGGCAGAAATCAGAGGAGTCCAACAGGAGGCAGAGCCAGAGCCAACTCATTCTAGTTTTGTCCCCGTCCTCCTACTCCCTGCTGCATTCTGCAAGGGCAACACTGAGACTAAGGAGGAGGAAGCCAACAGGCAGTGCTGGCACCTCCTGGGTTGCATGTGAGTAAGAAGGCAGGTGGGTGGAGACTGGCTGGGGGCAGACTGGGGTGGGTGCCCCACTCATCGTGATGGAGAAGCCTCCACTGCCAATATATAAGGAGGCAGGAGAGACCAAGACTCAATGTAGGAGCTGCTGCCTTTGAGGGCTTTAGGGAGGAGGAGGCTGTAGCAAACCAGACCTATCAGTTAACCTTGAAGAGGGAACCGCTTGCAGGGTATGTGAGAAAGCTACTGATAAGAGAAGTGAAGTTAACGCCATAAATATGGGACGGAATTGTGAGGGGTTCTGCAACCAGAAAAGGGCAGGCAAATGCGGCGCTTGCTATGTGTGATGCAAAGAGTCCCCACCGGGACCATTTCATGCAATAGAGGGCTCTAGAGCTCTGAGGATAATACTGAACCTAAACAGAGCTCTAAAAATTGAGAAGAAGGCAGTGAGTAATCTCACAGCTTCCAAAAAGAAAGAAAGAAAGTTGCTCTGTGTATTTTTGAAAACCTTTGATCCGTACATCTTTTAAAAGATGAATGAAATAATAGATTGCCGTACAGTGGGGAGAGAGGGATGAGCAGGGAGTGGGAGATGGGGTGGGAGACTGTCCTCCTTTAGTGAGCAGTATCAATATAAAATGCATTACTAGTGCTGGAGCTGAATCCTCGGCTCAAATTAAGCCCCAGCGCAGTGATAATGCTGGGAAGACTCAACAGAGGTAGGGCTGGACAGTGCCTGTGGTCTCTTTCTGCTGGTATTGGGGATGATGGCTTAGCTGCAGGAAGAACGATGGGGACATTAGAATCAGAGGCTGCTTCTTCGGCATCACACATTCCTGTTTCTCCAAGCCACAGACTGGAGGAATATTGTTGTTCGGCGGTGGCTGGTGTCCATTGGGACTGGTGGGGCAGAAGGCAGGGAGGTCAACAGTAGGTGGCGCCAGAGCTAATGGCAGGCAGAGCCAACTAGTTCTACTTTTGCCCCCATCCTCCTGCCTGCTGGGTTCTACAAGGGCAACACTGGAGGGGGAAGTTGACAGGCAGTGCCACCTGCTGGACTGGTTGTAAGAAAGAAGGCAGGCATGTGAAGGCTGGCTGAGGGCAGACTGAGGTTGCCCTAATGGACCTGCCACTACAAAACCGTAATGAGAAGGCCACCAAAACACCATGAATAGGAAATGGCACAGTGTGTAGTAAAATATCTGGGGCTGGCCCAGAGCAATAAGTCAGCTACCACCAACCTGGCACACTCCAGGTGTTTCAAACTACAACTCCCATCAGCCCCAGCCAGCGCCAGGCGGGGAGGGCGGCAATAGGCAGTGCAGGTGGTTGCTTTGGGTGTTGGACTTCCAAGCGAGCCAGGTTAATTCGGGCAAAAGCCACTAGGGGGAGCTTAGACCTCCTTTCCCTAACCTTTGGGACAATGTTGCCTGGGTTGCGTGTACCATTTGCAACATCCCCTTTCTCTGCCTCTGAAGAACAGGACGCAATAGGCGATCAGCATCCATTCCTGCCCCTTTGCTTGTCCCGCCTGGGTGGAAAAAGGAAACAGGGCTGCAAACACTTGGAGAACCCGCAAGGAGGGCACGCACTTGCCCCATGCAACGAGATGCAAGAAGAGAGGCAGCAAAAGGCTTCTGAGCTCTCCCTGAAAATCCCTCCTCTCATTTCTGCAGAAACACGGCACAAATCATGGCTTACATCCCTCAGTGCAATCCTAAGCATGCTTAGTCTGAAGTAAGGCCCACCATGTCCAACAGGTCTTACTCCCAGGTAAGGGTGCACAGGACTGCCACCGTGGTGACTTAGGCTAGCCTGCGGACACACACTTGCACCATCCAGCGAAATTGGAAGTAGCTTCTCTTTCTACCATTCCCCAAAAGGAGAAGGTGAGAAGCCTTCGCTGTTTGGAGGCGAGCTTCCTCCCTTTTCTTCCAAAGCAGTGAATCGGGCAGAAGGGTGTGTGTGTGTGTACAGGTGCTAGAGCGAGCGGCAATGGCAAGCGAGCATTGCTCATCAATAAAGCGGCAGCTCTAGCTGTCCCGACAGGAGATCCCACCACCAGGATACAACGCGTCCTAGCTGCTTCAGAGGTGCCTGTCCAGATCCTGTAGCTAGCTGTGTCTCTTTGGGGTGGATCTCCATGGTAGCTTGCAGCAAGGGTAGGTGGATGGTTGGGAGTGGAGTGCCTGAGTTATTGAGGTTGCCCTCCAGCACCCGAGGGCCAACAGAACCCCGAAAAGGACTTCGAAAAGCTACCAAGCAATGTTTAAAAAGAAGTCAAGGATCTTCAAGCAATGGCCAGCCCGATCCTTGACCCAGGAGAGGGCAGGGCAATAGACTCTGGAGTAGGGATGGGTAAACCTATCCATTTTGGTTTCTCAGTTTCCCAGTCTTAAATTGAGTTCTCCACATTTCCACGCCAGTTGGCATCTCTTCCTTTAAAAAGCCATCATGAAAACTCACCAGTATTTTCTTTAGTGTGAATTCTTCCTAATATACACTTTTTTTTTGCAAAGCAGTTTCCCTTGCTCTAATGAATTTCCCTAGTTATTTTCACTAACAAATGCATTGTTATGCACTCTTCACCCCAGTATATGCATATTTAATTTGCGCATTTACTTGGCTGCGGAACTGCATTGCAAAATTCAGAGAAGTGCGAAGGAGGGCCGTAGTTTTGGTTTGCGTATCATTACAGAAAGTGTGGATTAGGTAGATCCGTATTCGAACACAAACTGAATCGAATCTCTCCCTCATCCCTACTCCGCATTGCCCACTTCGGTTGGCAGGGTTGCGTAAGGAGGGAACTGGTGTGTAAGGGGGTGGTTTGCGGGAGGTTCAGGGAAGGAGATGCCTCCATCTCCTCTGGGCGGAAGCAGAAGACACAGCTGAAAAATCCCTGTGCATCAGTAAATGGAACGTGGATGGAAATACAAAGCCACGCCAGCTTTACACTGGAACAGACAAGCCGAGCCCGGGGTCAAGGCTGCTACCCACAGCCCTGCCCAAGGCGAAGCAAAATCCAGAGTCTACCTTACCACAAGACGGAAGCAAGCGAGCATGCAAAAGCTGCGGGTTTGTTCCGAAGAGAGGAAGAAGAGAAGAAGAAGAAGGAGAAAAAACCCTTCATCATTAGCAAAATAATAATAATAATAATTTTTTTAAAAAACCCAGAGGGAGGCAGATGGCTGTCTGCCAAGCATGGCATGACCTTAGGGTCAGCCAGGATTGTTCAGATGACTGTTTGTTAAATCCATTTCCTGGGAAACATTTGCTCCTTGGTTTGCTCTCTTCATGTGAAGATGACTTACAGTCAACACACCAGCTTTTGCCTGTGGGAGCACCCATCCACCCCGGTCTCCCAAGAGTCACGGGGACAAGCGCCAAGGCTTTCTCTCACAGCGTTGATCGGTTTGCTTATTCTATCATTTTCTTCCCTCCCTTGTCTCCTCCTATAAACACTTCATTGCAGCGTCCCATTCTTGGAATCCAGAGGTGGAACCCAACACGCATCCGTAATCGCTCCATTATTCATCCTTAACCGACTTTCCTCTATCTCTTTTCTTCAGCTTTCCACCTCTACCTCGAACGACGCCGACTGTTTCAACCGAAGGCTCGGCCACCCAGAATCCATACCTGGGAAGGCCATCAAGGGGGTCTCTCTCCCCTTATTCTTGCATTACAACCCACCCAAGACCGGGCAGGGGGGGGGGACACAGGCGAACCTCTACCCACCAGCACTTGGCCGGAAACCACTTTTCATCCAGCACTGAGCGGCAGCAGCTTTTGCCACCAACTTGCCAATCTGCCACAGCGGTTTCTTGTTTCTTTCCATTATACCACTTTGTTTGTTTGTTTTTCATTTGTGATTTTTTTGTGTGTTTTTTTAAGCATCATTTTTTTCAAAAATTAAGATTTCAGGACAGATCACTACAAGGAAGACGGGAGGTGATGGAGGCATGGGGATTTTACAAACTTGAGGAGGGATTTCTTCCAAGTTGCCACTGCCACGGCTTCATGGGACGTGGACGCACATGCAAAGTGCGCTGGTCATTGGTACGCACGATCTAACTCTTGGCTTATGATTTGCCACACGTTGCGTTGATCTCTCTCTCTCGCTCAGTGTACATGTGAGTGCATGTGTGGTTTATAAGTCACAGCATCTCTCCCGGAAAAGAAAATATATATATATAGATATATTAAATGAATAAATAAAACCATGACTCTGATTGGTTGGTCAGTGCTGGGTTGGGATTGGAGGACCTGGCTCCAGACGATGGTCAGATTCTTCCAGGGAGCGGCTTACTCGATCACCATGCAACGGGGCAAGTGTTGGGAAAAATATTTGAAAAGCTCTGGAGTGGCCCCTGGACAATTTGTCAACTCGAGTTCTTCTAAGTCTTGAAGCTGGACGAGGCCCGAGAGCCCAGTTGTGGTCAGGAGAGGACAGCCTGGAAAGACCAAAATCAGAGAGCACCCCATGAACGAGAAGCAACTCATTCAGACGACCACAACTTACAGCAAGCAAGGCTAACAATGGTCACATTCACACGTCACATTTAAAGCACTCTGATTCCACTTTTAACAGCCCCCTGCAAAGTGGGATTAACTGTGAAACCACTCTGGGAACTGTAGTTCCAGGAAGGGAACAGGGGCCTCCTAACAACCCTCAGCAGCTCCCAGAAATCTTTGGGGGAAGCCAGGCCCGTTCAAAGTAGTGTCATAGTGCTTTACATGTGTGGTGTTAATGTGGCCTCAGAAGTCATCCCCACTGAATTCAGCTGAAGCTATTCTAGGGACACATGAATTCATTAGTTTTGGTTTCTCTCGGTTTCTCATTTCTCTGGCCTCAAGTTCAGTTCTCCACAATTCCACACTAGTTCAATATTCTTTTAAAAAAGTTAGCATGAAACTGCATCAGTATTTTAGTGCAAATTTATCCTAATATACACATTTTATGCAATTTGGCCGGTTACACATTTTTGTATGCCATTTCCTTGAAAACAATGCATTTTTATAATATTATTTTCACAAATATAAGTGTTTTAATAGACATTTTACCCCAGTTGTATGCATTTTTGTGCCCATTTTTGTCATTCTCATGAGGCAATGCAGCCCTTAGGCCAGGCTTCCTCATCCTTGGCCCTCCAGATGTTTTTGGCCTACAACTCCCATGATCCCTAGCTAGCAGGACCAGTGGTCAGAGATGCTGGGAATTGTAGTCTCAAAGCATCTGGAGGGCAGAGGTTGAGGAAGCCTGCCTTAGGCAGAAAAGGGTTTCCCGCCTCTGAAGTAAAATGACCAAAGAAATGAGTATTATCAATTCCCTTTCTCCACTTTCAGCTTTCTGGGGAGAGGGGGAGGTAGTGTGTAATCCCTAGCCAAAGTTTCCCTTATTTTCCTTTTGCCCTGCCCCCACCCCACACAAAAGAATGTGGTGACAGTGTTTGTATGAATGAGTTTCTCAGCAAAGTGGTGGGTTCAAATGGATTCATGACATGCATCAGAAAATTTCCCCTTAGTTTGGCTCTCACCAGCAACAGACAAGAGGCGTAAACTTCTCATTCCCAGCAGATGCTTCAGGCCAAAATCTTGAACCTGAAACAGGAGAGAAGGAGGGAGGATTTGTGAGCCTGAATTGCTATTACTTGAGAAGCAAGTGGGTTAAGTCTGTTAACTATGCTTGTTTTTAAGACCTGAAGTCTTGCCAATATGGGGGTATTCTATTGGCATGGGTGCCAACTGTGAAATAACCATAGCTGTCAACTTTTCCCTTTTCTTGCAAGGAATCCTATTCGGAGTAAGGGAATTTCCCTTAAAAAAAGGAAAATGTTGACAGCTATGTAAATGACCTTTCTAGAGAACTCTGGGGCAACCTTTGGCCCTTCAGATGTTGCTGAACTACAGCTCCTATAAGCCCTGGACACTGGCCATGCATGCTGGGGATTATGGGAGTTGTAGTTCATTAACAACTGGAGAGCTGAATGGCTGTTAGGCGGAAGATGGAGCAGACTGGTTCTCTGTTACTGCAGATGACAACATTAGGAGAAACTTCCTGATGGCTAGAGCTGTTCAGCAGTGGAACACTCTGCTTCAGGAAGCAGAGGGCTCTCTTTGACTTGAGATCTAGCAGCAGAGGCCTACCCAAAGATACCGCAGTTGCATCCTGTATTGTAGATCTTACACTGAGAAAGAAATTGGACCAGATGACCAACTCTATGTCTGTCCGTATTTTCATCAACGAAATATTGGAGCAGTGGAGGTCGGTCCATTTGGGAAAATAGGGCACTGTCCCACCAGCCTCAGTCTGCCCTCAGCCAGCCCCCACCTGTCTGCCTTCATACCTACAGCCCATCCAAGATGTGGCACTAGCTGTCAACTTCCTCCTCCTTAAGTCTCAGTGGTTGTCCTTGTAGAACTCAGCAGGGAAAAGGATGGAGACAAAACTAGAATTAGTTGGCTGTGCCTGTCATTGGTTCTGGCTAGACCAGCCTTTCTCAACCTGTGGGTCCCCAGATGTTGAACTACAACTCCCACCACTCCTAGCTAGCAAGGCCAGAGCTCAGGGATGATGGGGGTTGTAGTCCAACAACATCTGGGGACCCACAGGTTGAGAACCGCAGGGCTAGACCTACTTTTGGTCTCCTTGCCTTTGGCTCTACTAGTACCAATGGGCACCAGCCATCACCGTTGTCAGTCCTTCAAATAGAGGACTCACCTCTCCAAAGGTGAGGCTACAGGACCACCTGAAGCTCCAGAATATTGTCATTTGCCAACTGACCTGGCAGCTGCCACCACTTGCCAGATGTTGGAGGAGAGAGCAGGAAGCAGGGATTGCTTAAAGGGAGACCCCAGAATCTTTCCCACCTCCCCAACCTCTTTATAGCCTCTGCCAACAGATTGAAAGAACCAGGCTGCTCTTTCCCCATTACCAGAGGATTCTTGGGGGCTGCCCAAGAGATTGTGCCCCTTGAAGACAAGGTGGCATCCCACCCTGCTTTCCACACACAGAAGCCGGCTAGAGCTGCTATTGAATTGTACTTCAAGCCTAACAAAGAAAGTCATGTCAGGGGGAGAGCTGCCCCTGCTGCTCCTCAACATTTGCCTCCAGAGGCACTTGCATCAGCCTATTAGTAGGGCCAGCCCTATCTATTACCTACCTGGCAGCACCAACGGAGGTATAAGTTCCTAAGAGATGACATGGTGGACAAGTAACTGAGCCCGGTATCTGTGATCCGCACACACCTGCAAGAGAGTTGGGGAAAATCGCAACTGTGAGGAGGAAGGCATGAGCAATAGGAGCAAGGGGAAAGGGGGAACTTCTCAACTGCCCAGTCCCTTTTTATTATTGATATAAAGAAGCAGTATAATTTATGTTTTTAAATGCCTTTTTTATGCTGAGATGAGTAATGTATGGATTCCATAGTTTGAGAGCTGGAATATTAGAAAATGTACCATAATACAAATTAAATAAATTAAATAATTCAATAAATAAATAATTCAATATAATCTATATCTATCTTTTGAAGAGTTGTTTCTTTGTTTGCTCCGCATCTGGACAGCTCTTAATATATCCTAACCCAATTTTGCAGGATGGATTCTTCAGTCAAGGAGCAGGTTCCGTCTGTGTTTGGATACAGTTGGAAGCCATTTGGAATCAAGATGGCGGGCCACACCTTTCAAAACTGTACTGATCTTAACAACTGATTTCAAAACTGAATCGATATTTCCCCCCTTAGAATTCCCTAGCGAAGCCAAATATGAGGCTGCCAGTGTGATATAATTCAATAGATTTTATTTATATGATGCATGATGCATGATGCATGATGCTGTTGATGAATATAATACCTAGATGTAGGTATTATAGCAGGGGACCTTTTGATGGTACAGTTTCTAAAACCATCAGGTTGTATCATAGAATCATAGAATCATAGAGTTGGAAGAGACCACAAGGGCCATCGAGTCCAACCCCCTGCCAAGCAGGAAACACCATCAGAGCACTCCTGACATATGGTTGTCAAGCCTCTGCTTAAAGACCTCCAAAGAAGGAGACTCCACCACACTCCTTGGCAGCAAATTCCACTGTCGAACAGCTCTTACATATCAAATGTTAGTTCTACTCAGAGTTATGTCCATTAATTGCAAAGAGTGTACTCTGAGTAAAACTTAGTTGGCTACACTCCAGCCTTTCCAAATGTGTTGCCATGAAAACCTGGGCAATGTGCATTTTAAAACAAATTGACATCACATTTTTAATGAAACACCAATAAACTGAACAGCAGCAGTTGTCAGAGGACCAAACTAGACTATGCATTAAATGCATGTATGCATTGCTATGCATTTTGTACTGGAAGGAAGGAACCTGGGAGATGGGGCAGGGGGGTGTTTCTCGGTGACATCAGAGTGGACAGCCAATCAGTGCTGTGCACTTTGAAGCTTTCAGAACTGTGTCGCCCAATCCTCTTCATCAGAGCTCCATTCTGGAGAGGCACAAGTGCATTTTGAGCTGACTACTTAGAAGACATCTCCACATCCAGAAAAAGCTTCCAGATGAGGACTTAAATTTGGAGACAGGTCTTGGAGAAATTGCACACGGGTTATTGGCAAAAGATTTTTTTAAAATAAGATTTTCTTCTAAAAAGGTAAATCCAGATTAACTTGGTGGCGAGGGCATACAAAAGTTGGTATTTTGATGCCAACGACGCCATGTGGACACTGGCATGATTAAGGAGCACCCATCACCCCAAAACAGGTCTCTTCCAAGTGTCCTTTTTATTGTGCATTCATGATGATTTGTGCTCATGATGTTTGTGGGATGGTCACACGTGACCCTACATTCATGACTGGTTGCACCCGTAGAACCTTTGGGGCAGCCATACTGCTTCATTCCCAGGTAGCGCATCACCGGCAACTTCCTTGTTGGCTTTGCTCTGCTTCCATAGTCAGAGGCATTGTGCTCCTGAATACCAGTTTTCGGAAGCCCCCCAAAGAGGAGGATGCTCTTGTCTGGGGGAACAGGATGTTGGACTTGGACCACTGGTCTCATCTAGCATTTCTTCTTATGTTCATAGGAGCATTGGCCTCTGCCTTACTCCAAGTAAGACAATTGGTCCATCTAGCTCAGTGTTGTCTATACTACCTAGCAGAGACTCTCCAGGATCCAAGACAGGGTTGCCACAATGTCCTGGAATGGGTGGGGAGGTGTTGCCTCACTTTTGTTGCACTTCTGTACAGGAATAATTTGGTAGCATTGGAAAAGCACCGCAGAACAGCTAAGCAAGCAGAATAAACTTACCACAAATGCCCTATGATTGTGTCAAGCACATGTTGCGGAATACACACACTATAGTCTGGAGAGACCCACAGATTCTCTGCATGTGCTAGGATAACTCACAAGGGGGCAGCATTGAATTAGAGAAGCTTCACTGACTGTGCAGTCCCTAGGCTGAGGGGAGGGCCTTTCCAGATGCCCAGAGATCAGAAGCTACACGCACAACTGGTACCTGAAGTTATGGGTGGGGAGGCAGCTGAGACAATTAGTGCCTTGGCGTAACTGGAGCCAGACAATGATGGAGAGAGCCAGCTTGGTGTAGTTGTTAGGATGCCAGGCCAGGACACAGAAGAAGAGGGTTCAAATTAGCCCTGAAGCTCATTGGTGGGCTTTGGGCCAGTCAGCATCTCTCAGCCTCACCTACCTCACAGGGTGGTTGTGAGGATAAAACGAGAAGTATATAGTCCACCATGAGCTTATTGGAGGAAAGGTGGGCTAGAAACATAATCTCATATAAAGACGTTGCACCAGCAGGGTCATCTACAGCAGCAAGTGGAAATGAGCCACAGGTGTTTGGAGATCAAGGCTAGAACACTGCTCCTTGAGGCACTGCAGTTCCCTGGAAACCCCTTGGTTTCATGGGGACCAAGCTGCATTGCAGGCAGATAGGCAGCTGCCTCATTGTATCAACCAGGCCACTGGTCCATCTAGCTCAGTACTTGTCTACAATGACTGGCAGTGGCTCTCTAGGGTTTCAGGCAAGAGGGCATTCCCAGACCTACCTGGAGATGTTGGGAATTGAATCTGAGACCTCGTGCATGCTAAGCAGGTGCTCTACCCCTGAGCTATGGGCCACCCCTGGTCCCCACCTTGCCTGCTCTGACTCTGCCCTATCAGCAAGCGTCTCTGCTGCAATCAGCTTCCCCTAAGCCTTGAGTTGCAATGGGAGAAACTGCTGCACAGACGTCTCTCCTTGTTTTGCCCCTCTGGAAACAGGCCCAGCCCATTTTAAACCGTACTATTAGCTTCTAACCCTTTCAGTGGTTCTCAACCTGTGGGTCCCTAGATGTTGTTGAACTACAACTCCCATCATCCCTGAGTTCTGGCCTTGCTAGCTAGGGATGATGGGAGTTGTAGTCCAACAACATCTGGGGACCCACAGGTTGAGAACCGCTGCAGATTGTTGTGTGTCTGTGCTAGAACCAAGCCCTAGGGTTGTAGGAAGCCATGTAGCTCAGTATTGTCTACACCAGGGGTTGTCAACCTGTTATCTACTGCCCACTAGTGGGCGTTTCAGGATTCCAGGTGGGCGGTAGAAGCCGAATCCTCCTTCCATTGAACACTGGTGGGCGGTAAGGAAACTTTACCATCAAGAAAGATGCATTAGTGGGCGGTATAAAAGGTATAAAAAGGTTGACTACCCCCGGTCTACACTAACCAGCAGCAGATCTCCAGGCTTTTCAGACAGGGGAAACATTCCTACCTGGAGGTGATGAATATCAAACCTAAGACCTTCTGCATGCCAAGCAGGTGCTCTGCCACTGATCTATATGGCCTGGTTTCTGAGCTCAGCTGAGGCCTGGCAAGATATTTAGCCATTGCTCAGCATATCATGCTTCAATCCTCCATCCCATCCTCTGTGAAACTTCAAGAGGGCTCAGTTCTCTACCTACCTATCAAGGACCAGCTCCTCCAGCTTGTGCAGGTCACAGGCAATGTACTCCAAGGCCATGTCTGTGATCCGAGGACACCATGACAGGTCCAAGCTTCGGAGTTTGCGGAGGTTCTCTGCCACCAGCTCCACGCCATCGTCCGTCACCTTAGAGCAGCCAGAGAGGCTGAGGACACTCAGGTTAGGGAGGCTGTGCACCATGTTGACCACCCCGTGGTTTGTGATCTCCCAGCAGGAGTTCAGGCGGAGGGTGTGGGTTGTGTAACCCTGCTTGGCAGTGAAGTAGGCTAGGGCCGTGTCCGTCACATGATAGGCTTGGAGATTCAGCTCGGTCAAGTTGGGCAGCAGCTGGGAGATGGCGGCAATGGCGTCGTCGGCCACGTTGATGCAGTCGCTGACGCTCAGGGAAGTGATGCGGGCATTCAGGCTCGACCAGAGGCCAGCTTCGGTGAAATCATTACACCCGGACAGTTCCAGCCGCAACACCCCTTGCATCTGTTCCAGCATGACCTGAGAAAGGGAAAACACAGATTTCATTTTAAGGGAGGGGATCGTAGAGTGGCAAAGCTGGAAAAGACATTAGAAATCGTCTAAGCCAGGGATCAGCGGGCATCAGGCTTGTGGGTGGAGACAGAGGTGTAGTAGTCTGAGGTCACCTAGGGTTAGGTAAAGGTACCCCTGACCATTTGGTCCAGTCGTGACCGACTCTGGGGATGCAGCGCTCATCTCGCTTTATTGGCCGAGGGAGCTGGTATACAGCTTCCGGGTCATGTGGCCAGCATGACTGAGCCGCTTCTGGCGAACCAGAGCAGCGCACGGAACTGCCGTTTACCTTCCCACCGGAGCGGTACCTATTTATCTACTTGCACTTTGATGTGCTTTCGAACTGCTAGGTAGGCAGGAGCAGGGACCGAGCAACGGGAGCTCACCCTGTCATGGGGATTTGAACCGCTGACCTTCTGATCGGCAAGTCCTAGGCTCTGTGGTTTAACCCACAGCGCCACCTGCATCCCCACCTAGGGTTAAAGACCTGTTAATATTTCTCCAGCAGGGTTTCTGTCTCCAGCATCCTAGAGCCGTCCAATCAATAGGAAGGGGAGCTTTTTAGCCAGTGAGAAGAGGTCTTTCTGACACTTTGTGCTGATTGGAGCCAATCAGAGTGGGAGGAGGTGAGCGGCCCTAAGTAATGGCTGAGTGGGGATTGGAACCTTTGTCTCCCAGGTCTGACACTCAACTACTATGCCACACTGGCTAAGCAACATTGGGAGGGCCAAAGGTTCCCCACCCTCCTGCTCTTTTGAACCAAGTGGGGCTTACTCTCAAGCAGACACATGTAGGTGCGTACTGCAAATTACCTACAAGGTATGTGTACTTGGAAGTAAGTCCCACTGAGTTCAAAGGTGCTTCCTCTGATGCAACTGTACAATAGTATTGCAGCTTTCACCCACCTCATGCTCTCTCAAAGAGAGAGAAAAAAGAAGAGAATCACACTCTACGGATGCTCAAGAAACTGAATTTCCTTAAATTCCATTGGGAATAGACTTGATCTGCGCATTCCAACCTTATCCATGGATTGGAATGAAATTATTCTCCAGATTTTGCACTTCTCTGAATTTTGCAAGACACTCCTCAGATCCCAACAGTTACTTAAATTGCCAACAAGCCAACAATTATTTAATTTGCATATTTTAGGGTAAGATAGGTTTAGAAAGGCATACACCTAGAGGCAGCTTTTTGGGAGGTGGTGCTCCTAGGAATTAATTTAATAACAAAACAAAATTTGATACCAATCCCTCCATTAGAATCACTGGGGATATGAGAGGGGCCAAATGAAGATGATTTGGATAAAGAATTGACTCTGTATCTTTCTCTTAAGAATTGATTCTGTATGTATTGTTAGCTGCTAGGATGGTTATCGCAAGAAAATGGAAACATTTAGAGGAGTTCAATAAGGATTCATAGTGTAGTCAAATCTGGTCCATAGCTGTTGCTGAAAAACTAATTAAAAAATTAAGGTATACTAACAGATAATCAGAAAAAGATTCAATTTCAACTACCGTATTTTTTGCTCTATAAGACTCACGTTTTCCCTCCTAAAAAGTAAGGGGAAATGTGTGTGCGTCTTATGGAGCAAATGCAGGCTGCACAGCTATCCCAGAACCCAGAACAGCAAGAGGGATTGCTGCTTTCACTACGCAATGATCCCTCTTGCTGTTCTGGCTTCTGAGATTCAGAATATTTTTTTCTTGTTTTCCTCCTCCAAAAACTAGGTGCGTCTTGTGGTCTGGTGCGTCTTATAGAGTGAAAAATACGGTAAGTGGCAAAATTTTATATGATGATAACAACGTTCAAATGCCTCCTGTGAATTATGCTACTGTCTGGAACTCTTAGTAACATTTCAGCTTTCCTGATATTTATGAATAAAGTAAACTTTTTTTTTAAAGTTACTACCCTGCAACACCAAGAATACCCCCCCCCCCCCGGGGGAATGTGAATAAAATTAACTGAATTTATACTTTGTGTGTGCATGTGTTTAATTTTCATTTTCATTCAATTGCATTGTTTGTCTACATTTATTTATGCTTGTCTATTATTGAAGTATATGTAATTAATTGTTTAAATAAATAAGCAAAACCATGCTAAAAGGAAAGAAGGAAGGAAGGAAGGAAGGAAGGAAGGAAGGAAGGAAGGAAGGAAGGCAGGCAGTGGGATAAAATATATTTTTAAGCATGCATTTAATGGGAAGATATGGATTTAGACAGGATTTTCTCTGCATGATTTTTTTTTAAAGTAAGTAATCAAAGCTAAATGGGGCAGAAGGGCTTACAGAGGTGCACTACCATAAACAGACTGCTGATCCATCCATCTACCCTTACCTCTCACCCCATCAGCCTGCTCAGTTCTTTCTGTGGATCGGGGCTCTCTTTTGCCCAGGCTGCTCAGCTCCTGTAGGCCACCTCTGCTCTGTTTGTCTTTAGACCCTCCCCTTTATTAAAATAACAGCAACCATCATCATATGGTGTTTTGGGATTGATTTTGCACTGGATCTGTGTTTCCATCGTTTGCATATGTTGGGTGGTTTTTCTGATGTTCATATTGTGCATACAATATGGTTGTGGCTGAGTCACATTGGAATAACGGTTTGTCCTTAAAGACGGGTGTAAACAAGCAAACAAATAAGGTCACATCTGTACTATGTATTATAAAGCAGCCTTAGACTTCCCCGTGGAAGATGTATTGATTAATATAGCACTCTGAGAATTGCAGCTCTGCATGGGGAATCAGCGTCTCCAAACAGCTCCTGGTACCCTGAACAAACTACAGCTCCTAGGATTCTTTGGAGGAAGTCATGACAGTTTAAACTGGTATGGTGCTGCTTAAAATGCATAATGCAGATGGGGCCTAAATCAAGACAGCCGATGCTCAGACATGTTGTAGACCAACATATGGAATGCCGCACGTTCCCCAGCCCGGCAACAGAGGAAAGTAGACCCTCCAAGTGTCCCTCTTTTCCAGGGACAGTCCCAGATTTATAGAAGCTGTCCCAGTTTCTCATTTGATCCCAGAATGTCCTGCTTTTCCTTAGGACGTCCCTATTTTCATTGGAGGAATGTTGAGGGTATGGGAAAGGCTCTCTCAGCATGAAGGCAGGGGACCAGGGGTAGGGGACATACTGCACCGCGAGGGCCACATTCTCTTCTGGGCAACGTTCTGTGGGCCACATGCTGAGTGTTGGGGTCAGGAAAAGAGGCAAAGCTGGATAGAGAAAGGTAAAGGGACCCCTGACCATTAGGTCCAGTCGTGGCCGACTCTGGGGTTGCGGCGCTCATCTTGCTTTATTGGCTGAGGGAGCCGGCATACAGCTTCCGGGTCATGTGGCCAGCATGACTAAGCCGCTTCTGGCGAAGCAGAGCAGTGCACGGAAATTCCGTTTACCTTCCCACCGGAGCGGTACCTATTTATCTACTTGCACTTTGACGTGCTTTCGAACTGCTAGGTGGGCAGGAGCAGGGACCGAGAAATGGGAGCTCACCCCGTTGCGGGGATTCGAACCACCGACCTTCTGATCGGCAAGTCCTAGACTCTGTGGTTTAACCCACAACGCCACCCATGTCCCTGGATAGAGAAACACATGTAAAAATTACTTTCTAAGTAACACCCCCACACCCCTCTCTATCCTCTATCCAGGCAAGCAAAAGGCATTACTGGAGTTCAGGGACACATTCCAGCCAGAGGATAAAGTCTGACTGGCAAGGGGTGTGGCCTGGGGAGAGGGGGTGTGGCTGGGGAATGAGGGTGTGGCTAGAAGGGGGTGTGGCTACCTGGACTGCCTGTGGTTCCTGGGCCTGAGTTTCCCCCTCTGTGCAGGAGACCTACCTCAAGGCCTGCGTCTGTGATGGTCGATCTCTTAAGGCTCATGGATTTCACCCCTTTCTTGGACAGAGGATAGTTATCGATGAACTCACAAATGTCCAGGTCGGAGACGCCAACCAGGCAAAACCCCTCAAAACCCCTGATAGCAAAACCCTGGAGGTTGACAAACTCCTTGTCTCCACTGGGCAGGACGTTGTAAAGCTCTTTGGTGTGTAGCACCGGCGTCAGGCCCACCCAGAACTTGGGCTGGTACAAGACCCTCCTCCATGCCTTGCAGACCTGGGCCAGGACACACTTCTCGCAGGCGGAAAAGTACGTAAACAAGCGGTTGAGGATCTTCTCGTCCACAGCCAGCTGCCGTTCACTGGGGGAACCGGAGAGGCCTTCGAGGGAAGTGACCTCCCCGTTTGTTGGGGAAGCCTCGCTGGAGTTCAGTCCCACCATGGCAGCTCCAGAAGGAGATGGCACCCCGGCCAGAGCCGCCAAGGACAAGGGCGGTGCCAGGCCGGGGATGGGCAGGTCGCTGTGATTTGCTAAGGCTGGACCGATGAGAGCAGGCACAGATGAAGGCTGGCACAAGCGGTTTTTCATCGCTGGGGTCCCTTTGGTGATGCTGGCAGAGCCGAGTCCATTGGCCTGGGCGGGAATCTTCACAAGTCCGTTCCGGGGTAAACATGGAGGTTTCGTATCACCGTTACTCTGGTTCGACATCTTCCAAGGTCACTCTGGAAAAACAACGAGGAAGGCTGTTAGGGAATTGGACCCATGGCGCACCAGGGAACATCCGACTTTTCATTGAATCATCTTGCGGGAAGAATTGCCCCCCTTTTAGATGGTAATGGGCAGAAGTGTAGTGGCCCATGATCACAGTAGGTTGAAGACCCATCACAATTTATGCAGTAAGGTACTAGCAGCATCCCTGTTTGCAGCATCCTAGGGCCACCCAATCAGCATGGAAGGGGAGCTTTTGAGCCAATGAGAAGAAATCTTCTCACGCTTTGTGCTGATTGGAGTCAATCAGAGTCAAAGGAGGTGAGTCAGCCACTGAGGATTGACTCCTAGGGTCACTCTGTGCATAGGAAGAACACCATAGGAAGAGTTGCTCCAAAGCTAAGCATTTAGGAACACAGAAAATGGAAGGGGAGCTTTAGTTTAAAAGAGAATGATGTTCAAGTTCTGTTACATATAATGGAACTTCAAGGAAGACACAACTTAAGTCACTTCAAAAGAATATATTGGAATACTCCAAACCATTTGCCCATGTATGTCTACAGAAAATAGTAAATCTGGGTGAAAGGCAACACATGGAGATCAGCACTAACTGTTGCAATGCATCCCTAATTAATATTGTATAATAGCAGTATTGTACAATCTTAGAAGGTTGCATAATCTTAGAAGCGGGTATGGCTTTGAGGGGGCATGGCTGTGACTGGCAATGGGTATTGCTTTGCTTACTTCATCAGCATTTGGGTGTGAATTTCTCCCATCTTTGCATACAGTTTTGACGAAATGTACATCTTTTTGCAAAGCAACTTTTCCTAATATAATGCATTTAGGAATGTTATTTTCACAAATACAGTGGTACCTCGGGTTAAGAACTTAATTCGTTCTAGAGGCCTGTTCTTAACCTCAAACTGTTCTTAACCTGAGGTACCACTTAAGCTAATGGGGCCTCCCACTGCCGCTGCACCTCCGCCGTGCAATTTCTGTTCTCATCCTGAAGCAAAGTTCTTAACCCGAGGTACTATTTCTGGGTTAGCAGAGTCTGTATCCTGAAGCGTCTCTAACCTGAAGTGTGTGTAACCCAAGGTACCACTGCATATTAATTTTCATGTGCACTTTCCCCTATAATATATGCTTTTTTGTAAAATTTGATTGCTTGGAAAACTGCACCCAAAAATTCAGGTATGTGCGAATTTTGAAGAAGAAGAACAAGAAGAGGAGGAGGAGTTTGAGTTTGGATTTGATATCCCGCTTTATCACTACCCTAAGGAGTCTCAAAGCGGCTAACATTCTCCTTTCCCTTCCTCCCCCACAACAAACACTCTGTGAGGTGAGTGGGGCTGAGAGACTTCAGAGAAGTGTGACTAGCCCAAGGTCACCCAGTAGCTGCATGTGGAGGAGCAGAGATGCGAACCCGGTTCACCAGATTACGAGACTACCACTCTTAACCACTACACCACATGTTGGTTCTCACAGTGATATGGAAATTGCAAGTTTGATACATTCCCCTTTCAGTACAATGCCTTTCAGTGAATTTCTTCCCCATCCGTATCCATGGGGAATGTTTTACACGAAGCAGCATTCCATCAACCAAGCTCCCTCTGACAGCCCAGAGATCCCTCCCCCTCAGCGAGTGCTAGTCCTGAGTCTGCCGCACTCTCCAGTAAACTAAGCAGAAGGTTGGAAATTGAGCCAATTTTCCTTTAGTGAAATCTTTGTTGCTGAGTTCGTCTTGCTCTGCTATTGTCATGTGAATGAAACTTTCCGGCAGTAACCACAGCAACCAAAGGTGGCAGCTTTGATAGCAACTTAATCCTGGGGCTTGCAAGAGTGGGCGGTGGTGGTGCAAGGGAAGCCCACATGTTTAATATTGGTCTTCTAGGAGAGGACTGATTAGGAAGCATAGGAAGTTGCCTTACACAGATCAGACCACTGGTCTATCTAAGCTCAGTACTGACTGGCAGCAACTCTCCAGGTTTTCAGGCAGAGGTCCCTATCCAGAAATGCCACAGACTGAATCTGGGTGGAAGATGGTGTCAAAACTAGACTGAGTTGGCTCTGCCTGACATGGGCTCTGGCTCCCCCTACTGTTGGGCTCCCTGCCTTCCAGCCTACCAGTTACAAGGGGCATCAGCTGCCACTGGATTGAAATTGCCTTGTTTCCAAAGAGTCTACATCCTTTTTCTTTCCAGTTACCTCTGGCCATAAGCATTGTCACCATTTTTTAATTTTTTTTAAAAACCCTCATGATTTATCTACTGCCTTTATTTATATGCTGGACCCAATATTACTAGAACAGGAGGATACAAATATTTTACATATTTTTAAATCCCACACTTTTAAGATGTCACACTTCATTTTGCATATGTGTTATCCATTGAACCTAAATTCAGAAGTCACACGCGCTCGGGTAGCTTTTCTGGTTTGTTTACAGGGGGCCATTTTACCCAGCTGCCTGGCAGGACTCCTAATGCAGGCCTGCAGCAGGGATTTCCCTGAGCCAAGAGATGGATGGATGGGAAGACAGGTTTGGATACTGGCTTGTGCTTAGCAGGTCACAGCACAGATAACTCACAGGGCCTGACTTCAATACAGTGTGCAACACAGTGCACTGCTGGACCAGAGCATTTGCAGACCATAGTTGTGATGCTCTGGCTGCTAGAGGGTGCCATCTTGGTTACAGAGCCTGATCACTTAAAGAGCTGAACAAGATGATGTGGTAAAATATATTTCCAGCCCTGTCCCTCAGTCCAGAGAATAGTGTGGCCCCAGAGAGTCCAGACACTGGCCAGCTCTGAACTAAAGTGCACACTTGCATCTTGAGGTATACACAATCAATAAAGCCTTAGCTAATGTAAGCCATTATCAGTATCTTATGCGCCTCAGTATTGCATTCAACAGAATTTCATGTTTAATAAGAATGGGGGGGGGGGATGAAAAAAACATAGCACAAGCAATAGCTCAAACGTGCAGCAAGTAAGAAATCAGAATTTGTAGAATCCAAATGGTTATTTCCAGTACACGAAACTGATTGACAAACAGCCGGCTGTTGTCAGGAGTTAGAATGTGTGTGGGACCAAGACAAACTGTTGCTTGGATTTTCTTATTTCCCTCTGCCCTCTTGCTTCCTCCTCCTCCTCTTATTAAACTTTTGCACCTCCCCTGTTCTCCATGAGTGCACCCATATGCAGGGGTGGGTGGGTGTGTTAGGGAATTTTGTTCTTTTTTTAAAAAAAACCTATATGCTTCTGTAAATCTTGGGGGTCCCTCCGAGCATGCAGACACCTCCCTTCGTTGCATCTATAAGGCCAATTGCCATCCCTAGTGATCCTCAGGCCCTATCCAAGTTGGCTGCTAGAGGGAGAAATCTGGCTGCCACCATTCCACACGTTAACACTCCTTTGCTGGAAAAGAGCAACACAGTGGAGGCTGTTCCTTTGGAGCAAATGGGGCACCAACCTCAGTCTGCTCTCAGCCAGGTCCCCTCTTACAACCAGCCCCAGGGTGTGGCACGAGCCATCAGCTCCTTCCTCCTTCGTTTCAGTTTTGCTATTGCAGAACTCGGCAGGGAGGAGGATTGAGTCAAAACTAGAACCAATTGGCTCTGTCTGCCATTAGCTCTGACTCCAACTGCAGTTGGACTCCCTGCCTTCTGCCCCACCAGCCTCAGTGGGCATCAGCCACCTTGTGTTGCCAGCTGACCTGAAAAAATTGTGGGAATGTTCTGGGGTGCAGGAAAGGATATATTGACTAATTATATCCTGATCCAACTTGTGCTAACAAGTTCCCAAAATATCAGCAGAGTTTATAAACATTCCCCTTTAGTACGCAACGGTAACGTGTGCACAGGTTCGCTAGAACCTCTATAATAATTACCCTGGTAATTTCCCCTTTAGTTCCCTCTTAAAATACAAGACACGACACAGTCTTCATAAAAGTATAAAAGAGTTTACTCACGTTCTGTTCACAATGTGATCCCAGAAGGCACAGCTTAAAAAAGGTTACATAGATTTAGAATCTATCTCATAGCAAGATAGGTCTTATCTCCTCTCTTGGCTGGGAGCCAAGAGAGCATCCTTAGATGTTTCCTCGTCGAAGGAAAATGGCAGAGAGAGAGAGATGGCTGCCTGCCCTGTGCTTTTTGTCATCACCTGCACAGGTGAGGTCACACCCACCTCTGGTCACATGTGGAGGAAGTCCGTCCCCAGGAAGTTTACCTGCTTGCTGGACAGACATCCCTCCCCATGTTGTAACATGTACACTCTAGGAATGTTGTCATTGACTGCTCCTGTGTTTACATCCCAAAAAATCACTTTGGCCTGCTCTTGTGCATCGAACAGCAGATTAAGGTGCAGAAATTGGCAAGGGAATCTTTTGATGACAAAAGCAACCTGTTATTACCTCCTAACACAGGTGCAGGGAACATTTTGCACATTCCCTTCTGGGAAACTTTCCAGGGGCCACACGGCAGTGGGGGGCAGTACCAGGAGCCAAGGGGGCAGAGTAATGAATGTGAAGTTAACTTTTGTACCGCAGTCTAGTTTCTATGCACATTCACACACCCCATCTCTATCGATAAATTCAGGCAAGCAAAAGGCACAATCAGAGCTCAAGGGCACTTTCCAGCCAAGCAAAAGCACCCAAGAAGAGAAGAAGAAGAGTTTGGATTTGATATGCCGCTTTATCACTACCCTAAGGAGTCTCAAAGCGGCTAACATTCTCCTTTCTCTTCCTCCCCCACAACTAACACTCTGTGAGGTGAGTGGGGCTGAGAGACTTCAAAGAAGTGTGACTGGCCCAAGGTCACCCAGCAGCTGCATGTGGAGGAGCGGGGAAGTGAACCCGGTTCACCAGATTACGAGACTACCGCTCTTAACCACTACACCACACTGGCTCCCAAGGAGGGAATGGAATTGGTCTGCTGAGTGGGTGTGGTCTGGGAGAGTCCCAAGGGCCAGACAGAGAGGCCTGGAGGGCCGCATTTGACCCTTGGGCCCAAGAC